TCTAAATATAAATTAAGTTTCTGTCTGGTGGTTTACTTGTTATTGCATCATCACATGAAAACAACAGGTTACTCACCTGTAATTGTAGTTCTTTGAGTGGACCTCTGTGATTCATTGTAAGATTCTAGAGTTTCTGCGGTAGCAAAAAACACAAAAAAACAAACAAAAGAAAACAGTGTAGACCCCTTCCCCTCCGTATATGTACTTTGATGCCAAGGCTCTCCCTTCAGTTATGTCAACTGCTGCATATTAGAGCTGTATGGAGTGACAGTGGGGAGGCCAGGTCGAGATGTTTGAATCACAGAGGTCCACTCAAAGAACTACAGTTATAGGTGAGTAACCTGTCGTTCTTCTTCCTGGCATCTGTGAATCACACCCTGGATGACTAACAAGCTGTCTTACCCAGAGCAGGGTGTCACACCAAAGTAGAAGCTAGCACAGCAGATCCAAAGGCCACATCAGATTTCTGCTGAACATCCAATCTACAGTGCTTGATGAATGTGGATGGCTGTGACCATGTGGCAGAGGCGCAGATGTCTGGAAGAGGAATGCCATGAAGAAACACCGGGGAAGCTGCCACTGCCCTGGTGGAATGAGGGCGAATCACCTGGGGAGCTGGCCTTCGAGCAAGCTGGTACGCCAGGTGGATGGTAAAAGCAACTCACTTGGATTTTCTTTGTGATGTCACCTGAAAACCCTTCATAGGAAGTTGGTAGCTGACGAAAAGTTGAGCTGAACGCCGGAAGGGTTGTGTGTGGGCTAAGTAAAATGCTAGAGCCCGTCTAACATCCAGAGTTTGGAGGATCCTTTATTGAACAGTAGACGGAAATGGAAAAAAGGATGGGAGAACCAACGGTTGGGACATATGAAACTGGGAAACACCTTTGGGGAGAAAGGAAATATCTACAAACAACTTGACCTTATCTCAATAAGACTGGAGATAAGGATAATCATGACGCAAGGCTGCAAGTTCACTGGCTTGACGAGCGGATGTGATAGCAACAAGGAACGCTGTTTTAAATTTCAAAGATCAACCAAAGTTAAGGGATCAAATGGGGCCTTGGTGAGCTGCTGCAAGACTATCATTAAAGACCACTGAGGTGAAGGTGGATGCACATCTGGATACATGTGTGATAAACCCTCCGGAAATGCTTCAGTGTAGGGTGTCTGAAGAACTGAACTGCTGGAGAGGTTGATGGTTGATAGGAAACGACTGCAGACAGGTAAGCCCTCAAAGAAGAAAGGAGAGGCCCTTGGTTTTCAGATGGAAGCAGAAAATGAAGGATGGTAGAGACAGAGGGATTAACTGAAGGTAGTGTAGAGGCTTCATTAAAGGAATGGAATTTCTTCCACTTATAATGATAAGCTCTCCTAGTTGAGGGTTTCTTCGCCTGATGTGGTATGTTGTGATCCTGGCTGGTTGGATGTCAAACATGATGCTTAGCCTTGCAATCATTGCGCCTAGTCGTGATTTTTTGATGCGGTTTGTCCCAATAAGATTGCTGTTTGAAGTAAGTTGTATAAGAAGTTTGCCTTTGAGGTTCCTGATGGAACTTCTGGTAGGAGTTATAGGGGTGCTGTCATTCAGTATGCTGGGGATGTTGCTGGTATGGGGTAGACTCCCCAAGGTCTAGCATCTGAACTCTTTTTCTTGACAGCTACACTAAAAAGATGTGGAACAGCTTTTGAAAGAGAAGGATGAATCGCTCCAAAAGGAAGCATGTGTGGATGCTGTACTTTGGTCTAATACAAACTATACCAAAAATGATCCATATATCAATCTATATGCCAGCATGGACAGCCTCAAAGATTGTTTAGTTGCTGCTTGAATTGCTCTCCCATGTCATGACAACACTGCTGAGAGGGCGCTCGAACCCTCCTCACAGAGGGCAGTGCAGTGCACCCAAAGAACTACTTAAACTTTAGATGTGTTTATTTATACACAAATGCCCACACTGTACACATAGTACTCAGTAGCTTACATGCTCATCTAATATAACTTGATCATTTTATTGTGGTTGACGTTTTGTTTCTATGCTGCTTTTATAGCATTTTGCTGTTCTATGTTCTTAATTTGTTTTGAGTTCTGATATTTTGTAAGCTGCCCCAGGAATTTTACTGAAGGTCAGAGTATAAATTCTTATATTTTTTTCTATAAAAAATCATATAAAATGCAGTCACTTCTCATCTTAAGCCTGAAGATAATATGCCAATGGTAATATGTTGTTTAATGATCTATGCCTTAACTTTTCCTCTGTATGACAGATACCAGGAATATGCCTTTTTAGGAATTATTAGAACATATCACAGAAGAGTAATAATAAGAAATGCTGGTAAAATAGTTACAGGAAATCTCCCTTCAATGTTTATGCAGCCTCATCTTTGTGATTTTTTAACAAAAACTAGTTAAAGTGCAAAATTATTACAATATACTTCTGACAATATACTTATGGTAAAGATAATCATTTACTGCAAAATCTTTCCAAAACAGAAACTATTCCTGGCTGCTCTACTTGCTTTTTACCACTACACTGTTCCAACTCTGCTATCAGGATAAAACACAAAAGACATCCTTTTAGTTTTGAGGCTGACACTGACTTTCAGTTAAATAATAACTCTTCCCCCCCCCATGAGATATTAGAAATGTAACTACTGCATTCTGGGCATACATAAGCCTTCCGTCTAAGGATACTGTACAGTGCAGAAAGGCAGAGCAGAAAGCACTGGCACAATCAGGAGTCATGTAAATGAGGACAATAAGATTAACAAAATAACAGTGAATTCAAAATCACTTATTCATACTGATCCTAAGCAAAGGTGAACAACCCCAGAGCTGGATCCAAAAGATTATCATGTTTTAAAAGCTCCGTCAGAATGCTGTACCAGCAACAACAGTGAATCAACCACAGGACATAGATACCAAGAAATATAGGAATCAGTATACCACGTCAAACAGTTGCTCTATGTCAGTGGTCCCCAACATTTTCCCAACCACAGACCATTTGCGTGTGTGTGGCTCGCCCACGGGGGGGGCGAAGCTCACATGCGCACATTGTGCTTGGGGGCCCCCACTCATGTGCACACCACACTTGCAGGGGATGGAACGTGCTTGCGCATACGCGCTTGCGGGGGCAGATTGCACTCACACGCATGTGTGCGATGGTGCTTGCGGGGAAGTAGGAGTTAAGTGTCCGTGGCCTGGTCCACATTTCAAAGTGCATTTAGCACTGCTTGCTTTCAACAACATTGTACAAAAATAGAAGAGGAAGCTACAAAAAGTTGAAAAGTACATAGTCATTAATAAGGTAAAACACACCTGGAAGCTACAAAAATGTATGGATTGTCATTCTAAGAACAACTGCACCTGGTGTGATGCTTTAATCAGTTCAATAACTCCATATAGGAGTTTCTCTCATATGGACTACAGCCTAAGTGGTCTGTACGGAACATTTAAGAATTATTCATTTAACCAGTACAATCCCATATGTATGTACTCAGAAGTAAACACCAATGAGTTAAACAAACTTACTTCTAGGTAAGTATGTATAAACTTTAGCTTCACTCTCTTTTTCATCTTAATGTCATGCCTAAATATCTGGTTGTTTAGAACTGACATAAAAAAGAAAGACTGAAAAATATAGACAACTAGCATAGAAAACTTAATTGAATATCTGTCCCAAACATATAGGTGGAACAATTGGTCTTGAATACTCAGCACTAAAAAGTCAGGGAATAGTATTTTAAGAATATTTCTTGTGTTATATTTCTATGCTTCATAATAAATTCTGCAATGCTGCCAGCATAAGACAAAAACATACCTTTTCAGTATGCAAAGGATTTATGGTTTTGGCATACATATCTAACCCATAGGTCCACTGAATTTTTAGTACCCATAAAAAGTTAATCTGGCAGTTTTGGAGAGTTCTAAGTGCAAGCAAAACTACTCACATATGATCAAACACAGAAGTAAAAGAACACAATGGCCCAAATCCTCTTGCACAGTAAATAGCACTATAGTAGGCCCACTGAACCAACAGGAATTTGGACAGTCAACTCCTCCATAAGTTCCACTAATGCTAAAGTAAACTGTAGTTAGAGTTCGTTCGTTCGTTCGTTTAGTCGTTTAGTCATGTCCGACTCTTCGTGACCCCATGGACCAGAGTACGCCAGGCCCTCCTAGCTTCCACTGCCTCCCGGAGTTGGGTCAGATTCATGTTGGTTGCTTCGGTGACACTGTCTAACCATCTCATCCTCTGTCGTCCCCTTCTCCTCTTGCCTTCACACTTTCCCAACATTAAGGTCTTTTCCAGGGAGTCCTGGAACAGGGAGTAGTTAGAGTAGGCACATTTGAATCAACGGAATTTACAGAGGACTTGATTCATCAAATGTCTACTGAGTCAATGGACCTACTCTAGTGCAATTTACTACATTATGCAACAGAACTATGGCCACTGAGTGTGTTTTTACATCAGAATATGTCATAGTTCGTGTTGTGGCTTGTTTAAGCTACTAGTGGGACAGCAAATATATGCTGGCTTATCTTTTCCATTTCTGGTTTGTTTCTCTCCTGTCCTTTCATCACTTCCTTTTTCAGGCTGGGCAGCTGGGGAGACAAACTGCAGATAAGCTATAATTGCAAGTCTGGACACCAAGACAATCCATGTTAAGTAAGCCAGAGTCCATAAGCCAACAAGAAGCCACATGTTCAGATCACAGTTTGTGCCTGGGTTTCTTAACAGAGGCAGGTGTGCACTTCACAACAAAACTTCAACCACATCATGGCTTGAACCTACTAATATGGTCACTGTTTACTTCTAAAAAGTTGAATTAATTAACTCAAGAAATCAACAACTGGGTGATTTCTGTCAGGAACAGCCACCATTGCCAACTGTGAGGAATACTGGGATTTGAAATTTAACATCTGCAGCTCATCGTTCTGCTCTTGCCTGCTGTAAAATGTTTCAAAGAAAATGATTAAAGTACAACATTTATTAAAATACCTGAAGTTCCAAACGTTATATCCCATGGAGAGCTAATAGACTGTTGATCGCCTTGGGCTCCTCCTTCTTTATCTGTGCCTTGCATTCCAACTCCTGCAACACTACTCACTGTTTTCGACTGTAGGTCAATCTAGAATTAAATGAAGATTTATTTATTTATTTATTGCAATCATATATACATAATATTGACACAGGTGTGTGTGTTTTTTAAGTTGTGCACCATGCTCGGTAGAATCTCTTCCATTTATTAACGTTTTAAATATACTATGAAAAACAGGAAAGGAAAGCTATTCTCTACGATTCTTCATGCCAGAGGAAGAGGCATCTGTTGGAGAACTATTACCTTTCTTTACATGCTGAATGATTTAACTTTGAAATATTTATATATGGTTTCATATACAAAAAATCTGTCATTACAGTTAACTGGACTACATTATATACTGGCATCCAAGTGAGATGCATTTAGAAGGGCATTGGACTTGATGACCTTATAGGTCCGTTCCAACTCAATTATTCTATGATTATATGAGATGGGCTAGATTATCAGTTGCAGTTCTTCTTCATGACACTGCACCTTTATTGATTTGTAGTTTGGCATTCTTTACATTGGATATGTTATGTACTGACTCCACAAAGATCAGCTAGGCTTATAATATGAGAAATGAATATAAATTGGATGTCATCTGGTTTATATTCCTAGATGTATCCCAGGGAGACAAAACACATGATCCTGTAGAGCCAAAATACCATTTTTCAAATTTTTTTAAATGGAATATAGAAATCATAGCAAACAATATTATTATTGCATTCCTTTCTCTTTAGGAAAGTGTTACATTGTTGTATCTAATAACTTGCCTTAAAAACGTATGGGAAGAGAAAAATGAGTCTGTTCCAGATATATTAAAATATATCTATAAATTTAAAATATATTTATAAATATTTGCCAATACTCTACTTTCAGTTACACTGCACAGTTCTCAAATTACTGTTTTGACAAAATTTTCTCTCCATGTCGGAGAAGAAATATTATCCTATTATATTTTTAAATTTAAAAAATGTACCTTCCTAATCAGATGGTTTTCTGTATCTGCTACATAAATAACGTTGTTCTTTATGGCCACCCCCTGTGGTGAACTGAATAATGCTTCTGAAAATGTTCCATCTCTTCTTCCACTGTTTGGTCCTTGAAGAACAAAACAATAACAATGGAATCAGCAGAGTAAGAATACATCAAAGACCAATAACAGATATGCAGCTGATTCAGAACTGGGCAGCAGGACTTTTGTTTTCTATATATAGATTTATTAGATATACAACATTGTGAGGGCTGTAGCTTTTTAAGTGTCTGTTTTAGAAATCAGTTTGTAGCCTAATTCGGAAAAGCTTATCTGTATTATACTCCTCAATGTATATGATATTCTTCACAGAAAATTAGAGATTTTCTCTTTCACAATATTTAAACTACACTATGTGTATGGTCTTGGAATATTATTTTTATATTCTCTAATTTTGTTTTTTAAAAAAAATCTCCTTGCAACTACTTTCACAAGAAACTAAACCAATTGTTATATACAACTGTTGAATGAATGGGACAATTCAATGAACTGGACTTTTATGTAAGTCTCAATGGCTGAAATCCTGTTTACACAAGATGAAGACAGATGGCATTACAATCACCTGTTTTTAGCAGGCAATTAAAGACTCCCTGATGGAATTCTCAAGTGTGCCTTCTGCATGCATAGCTGTGCAACAGAATTCAGTACAATGGATCTACTTTATACTGTAATACAGTGGTGTCTCGCTTAACGAGTTTAATTGGTTCCAAAAAAACATCGCTATGGGAAAACATCGCTAAGTGAAACGCGTTTTCCCATAGAGATGCATTGAAAACCGGATAATCCGTTCCAATAGGAACGGATTATCCGGTTTTCTCCCC